GCTTGTAATAGGTAGATTACAAGATAGTTGAGTTTAAAGCCTACAGGTGTAGGTCGTGGTTTTTTGATCCCCTTGTGTGGGATTTTTCCATGTAGAAAATCTCTGGCCTTCTTTACATTCAGTCCTTACTGCATTCTACGTATCAGTCTCATGGAGGACTAGGTACTCTATAGTTTGGTGGACTCACATAAGTCAACACATAAAAAGGAGGAAATGAAACATACTTTAAATATTGGGTATCAGTTACACATAATTCCTTACATTTAAGATACTCTTCCTTTTTCCAAGGAAAACTATATCTGTCTTTGTACTTACCCAAAATCATCACATCTCTTTGTACTTACCCAAAATTATCACCGTAAGAAACCCACTGAACCCCAAAATCATCACCTCTCTTTGTATCTGAGTTGTATTTGATACATCAATACCTAAGACAATTCTGATACAATACTAATACTATTAAAATATAATATTGTATTATAATTTAAGTTTAGAGTTGGTTCTAGGTGAATGTTTTAAATTGAAACTTGAAAAAGATGAAGATCAAAATTGTATCATAATTTAGAATTGTATCACAATTATAAATTGTACCTAAAACAATAGATGATACAATACTAATACAAGTATAATACGATATCGTATCAGTTTAAGTTTAGAGTCGGTTTTAAGTTGTATCATAATTGTATCAAAATTGTGTAAGAATTCTTTCAGGATTGTATCAAATTTGTATTGGAAGTATGAGCAGTTGTGAGATCGTGACGAATTTCACAGTTTGTATCACAAATATATGATAATTATATATTAATTTATTATATTGTATCAGGTATTATTTTGGATATTGATGTACCATCTACAAGTTATATACAATTGTGATACAAGTATGATACAATTACGTTTTACGTATTGATGTATCTGATACAATTAAATACAATTATGATACATTTATCATACAATTCCTGAATATTTCTTCATTTTCAGTGTTGTCCGGTCTCCCAGCAAAAGAACGATGCAATTGATGATTTAGTAATATAAATTTGTCGACAATGATGGGAAGAGAGAAGATGGAGATTCTGGCGTAGATTATGGAATTTTATTGTAGAAAAAAGGAGAGAGAAGAGGAGAGGGAAAAAAGGGAAAGGATATAATTGAATCTCTTAATTGAACGCACTAATAATGGGTGGGAGCCTTTTAAGGAGCAATCTACATAATTTGTAAGAAAAACATAGATACTTATTAAAAAAACTACAAGACATAGAGAACATTGATAAATAAGATTCTAATGTAGTATAACTACGTAAAAGAGGCTTGTAACAAAATATTTTAGTAATTATAATAGACTTGTAATTTATTTAATATAATTTCAAGCCATAAAGTAACTAAGTAAAAGTGTAAGACAATTCATAAAAAAAAAATTCAAGGCTTAAAGCCTTTTATTTTATTAATAGAACTTTTAAATTTCACATACAAATACAAGTCTTTTGAAGAGCACCTAATCTACGCAGCCACCTTCTAGATTAAATACGAAATTAAGTTAGAATAGTTAACACAAAAATTAAACACACAAATGAAATATGTTTATAGTCGTTGGCAACGGCTAATTTGCAAAGAATGCCATTAAAACCCAACGACTCTTTTTCAAAAATTAAAATTAAAATTCACGCGGGCAAGCAGGATGGGACGGTTAAATGGGATAAATGGGACGAAATGGGCAACCCGTCCCATCCCGTGTCCCGTTGAATATGGGCCCATCCCATTTATAACTAATTGGGCCGGGTCGGGATCGGCATTGGGACGGGAGCGGGATGACCCGGGCCGACCCCTCCCGTTAGACAGCCATAGTTTCTGCTAGTGTGTTTATATAGGTATTGTGAAAAGAAAGAGTCTATTACTCGGATGATCACTAAACTATCTAAAGTTATGGATTAAAGTCATTTTTTTTTCTTCTATTGTAACAGTAAAGTCACTTAACTATTCATACTGAACACAAATGGTCACTCAACCAGAATTATCAAATTTTTCGGTGAAAAATATGACGTGGCAGCCTATATGGATTTTTTATATTGGACCGAAAAAAATAATTAACACCTAATCGAAACATAAAAAATTCACCCATACACCAACCTAACCAGGTAAAAATAAATTCGCCCTCTAAATAAAATCAAACTCTAAAACCCATTCCTATTGCAAATGCATCTCTCTTCTTCTAATAAAAAGTAGCTTTTTTCTTCATGGTTGCACTCTAGTCCTTATACCCGTGCCCATTACTAAATAGAAGAAAAACCGTAAAAAATAATAATACATGTCATTGAGAAAAGAAGAACACAAGTCACTTTAGTCCTTAACCTCGTACCCATTATTATTTTATAAAACTAGAGTAAAACCATAAATTAAAAAAGTCTGCTTTTTATAAGAAGAAGAGAGATACATTTACAAAAAGGATGTGTTTTAGCGATTGATTTTATTTAGTGGTTGATTTTTATTTTTAGTAGGACGGGTTGGGTGTGTGGATGAATTTTTATGTTTTGTTTAGGTGTTAATTATTTTATTTGGTTCAAAAATATAAAAATTTCATGTGGCCTACCCCAACACATTTTTCTAGCGAAAATTTTGATAATTCTGGTTTAGTGATCATTTGAAAGCAATATGAATAGTTGAGTGGCTTTTCTGTTACAAGCAAAAGAGAATTGGCTTTAGTCTATAATTTTGAATAATTGAATGATGACGTGAGTGATGGATTCTCAAATGAAACAACAAGACAAGTTTTTGGGAGCACTACTATACATTTAATCATAAAATTGTCAGTTTTAAGTGTTTTATTGAAGCAGTGGCAATTAAAAACCATTTTTTCCCATAACGGTGCATGTCCAAACACTCAAAAGGTTAGCATTGTGGCAGTAGCGATATGTCCAAGTAATTGACGTATGATAAACTTTTTCATTTTTCTTTTCCTTGTCAAGATTAATTAAAAAACAGATAGATTCTTATCTTTGTTTTCCATATAGGAATATTTATGATCGTTTAATTCACATATCAGTTATGTATAAAATCAAAATATATGAATTGCAGGTAATAATAATAATAATAATAATACTACGTGGATTGTAATAATAATAATAATAATAATAATAATAATAATAATAATAATAATAATACGTGGATTGTACACATTAATTGTCTACTTTACCAGTATTTTTATTTTTGGGTGTTTCTTATTCAAGTATTACGAATATTATATTTTTAATTTATTTTTTATCTTGTACATCAAAAGAAAATATAAAATCATGTTGACGTTATGAATCTTATTAATGAAGAGTTAACATAAAAATTAGTCATGCCAAATTTATACATGTGTATATTAGTTATGTAGAAATTACGTTATTAATATAAAATTTTATGTTATTGTATGGGTTAAAATCCGCTTTTAAGATATTCAGGTCAAGATAATTCTACGAAAAGGATCCTCAAATTATCATTTAAGATGATCCAAGAAGCCATATCAGCCATGATCGAGGAGTCTAAGAGAGCCACGGTCAAGACACCGATGAGGATCAAGGTCGAGGAGTCGAGGTGAGCCGCGGTCAAGTCATCAATGAGGATCATGGTCAAGAAGTCGAGGAGAGCCGCGGTTAATGTTGCATGACGGTCGTGGTCGAATACCAGCAATAGAGTCGTAACGGCTAGTTTTCAAAATGGAATCTGGAAGGGAATATTCTAGTGGATATTCCAGTAAATATTCCTTACATTTGTACTATTAGGGTTTCTTGGGAAAAGATCCCAGAAAAATTAAAAAAAAAAAAAAGGAGAAGAGAAGCACGTAAAACTAAATTGTAAGAACGACACTTTGAAAAGACTCGTTCTTCACTCAATACAAGATTTTACTTTTCACTAAGATTCTCGTCAGATCCGAGGAATTCTCAATTATTTGAGGATCTATCGTTCAATCATTGTCAGGTGGAAGGTTCTTTTGTTCCACTGCTTGCTGATTAAATTATTCCTCTTAATTACATGAGTGTCATTATGTTATCATTTATTGAATATCATACACATTGCTACTGTTCTTGATAGTAAAAGTCATTTATTACATTGTATCATTATTGTCCTCATAAATGCCTTTCAACTACCTTTTCTGATTTCAAGGTTTGAGGATTTTATTCTTAACGGAGATTAACTTATATATTTAGTTAAATTAATTATTTAAACCAAGATTTACGTTTTTGGGTCAAACAGTTATAAATGGCATTTTAATTATATGTGATATTGGATTTATTTCTCGTGGACATCAATTAAACGACTTGCTGCGACAGATTTAGGTTATGAAAATATGACCTGCTCCACCTAGATTGTGGGGGTTGGATTGGGTGTATATTCATTGGCAACTATCTTTAGGCACATCCATAGTTAGTCTAGCTAAAAGCTTTGGTTTATAAGAAAACATATCAAAACATAAAAAAATAGTTTTTGAATTTGGTTTGTTTTACAAATAAAATTATCCTATAAATTGAATCTGACATGTCAATAAATTATAGTAATAGAACAATCAAATAAATGAGAAATCATTGAGTTGGGTGAGTTAGGTGACGGCTTATTATTAAAACCCAGATTGAACTAAAAACCCATAGGGCATATTAAAATTCAACTCTTTCACTGATTATATATTTTACTTGTTTCAACTCGTCAAATATAAGTCAATCCGCTCCACTAAGTTATAATTGGGCAAACTGTTGTTGGAATATGAAAGTTTGATTAATTAGAATATCTGACCGTATTAAATGGTAAATCAAGGTAAAACATTCAATGACAAGTTGATCCGGTAATTAAGGAAACATTCCTGGAGCGAATAAGATGGTGGCTTTTCTGATTAGAGAATGGCCAGCCAATAACCTCTTTAGCATAATGCAATGATATCTTTGTTAAACTAACTCCCATTATTGATACTGTATATTTTTCCAAAGTCCAAGGTCGGTTTCCTCCCCGAAATATATATACACTTTTAAATCAACACTAGTGGACAACATACGCTGAGCTGGATCCCCCACCCCCCACTTATACCCCTGGGGTTCATGGCGTCCCTTCAATGTATTCAAGAGGTCCACTTATCTCTCGTCCTAGGCTCTCCTCCCAATTTCAACTTCCCATCCAAGGGGTATCTTTGTTGTAAGTTGTAACCCTCTATACCAAACCCAAAAACATTACTACTCCGTATACAATCCAGAATTACTCATTTTGCTTTAATTTCTTGATGCTTTATTGTAGAATAAGATAGGATCTTTCAAAGTTGTAACAGCAAAAATGGCGGCGCAGGTTCATCTCCGTGCTAATCATTGCATTTTGTTGCCGTCAACGTCATTTTCTTCCTTGCACACATTTTCTTTAGTGAATTCTTCAAACCTAGGCGGCCTTGGGAGATCCTTCTTGGGTTTAAATGACAGAATATCAATAGCAGAGAGGAGAGTGATTAAAAGAAAGAATGATTCTTCTTCGGTCATAATTAGAGCGTCAGCGGGAGGTGCAGCAATATGGGATGGTTTTATGCCGGAAAAGAGCTCCAAAGCTCCAGCACTAAGTGACGTTTTCTGGCCTTCTGCAGGTACTTTGACATGTGTTGAAAATAAAATCAGTTTCATTAATTGTAGTTACTGTTTCTTGATATGGGAATATGTTATAGAATGCATTTACTGTTGAAAAATAGGGGCATTTGCGGCAATGGCTATGCTAGGAAAGATAGACCAAATATTGGCACCGAAAGGGATATCAATGACTATAGCTCCATTAGGAGCTGTTTGTGCTGTCCTCTTTGCCACCCCTTCTTCTCCTGGTGCTAGGGTACGCTTTCTTTCTCATTCACTACCACATCTTCTTTTTTTCTTCGCTAAAAATCTTGCGTAGTGCTATATATCTTTCTTTTTTTTTTTAAATTTTGTTGATGGGGAGCGGAGATTGGGGTATCTGGCTAAGGGTACTGGTTGTTTTAGCTAGAAGGTTTACAACCGCATGCTTATTTTATTTGCTCATAGGCATGAAGATATGGTCGTATTAATGCTTTATATATGGGATGTTTACACAAATAGCCCCCGTTTTTACTTTTTACTCTCTCCGTTTCAATTTATGTGAACCTATTTCCTTTTTAATCCATGCTAAAAAAATGACCCTTTCCCTATTTGAAAATAATTTACTTTTATGCAATGATTTGTAGCCACACAAAATATATGCCTTATTTTACACCACAACTTCAAAAGTTTCTCTCTTTTCCTAAATTCCGTGCTCAATCAAATGGATTCACATAAATTGAAACGGAGGGGTATTTTTTTAGCGGGTATACATAGACTATACATTGATTATATATGATTATACACATATTATATATAACTTATACGTATATTATATATTCGCTGGGTAGTTTTAGTTTAATTAATTGAGTGAGCTGCTATTTACCTTATATTATATCCAATTGCCAAGCGTAGCTTAAAGTTTTTATGTTAGTTCTGAGAAGTGAAGCGAGGTGCCTTTAGTATGGAAAATATGTTTTCCCTCGAAAATCAATTTAAAATATTTTCCTGTTTTAAGCTAGATATAAAAAATATGTAAAACATGGAAATTACTAGTATATCCTATAAAACTAGTGTTTTGAAAATAGTTTTGAGTGACACTAGATGGCTAGATTTGAAGTTTTCCACTCGTCAAACGGTGTTGTCTCCCTTCTATGTTGGATCTGATTAAGCGCAGGTATAATGAGATTAATTACTAGCCACACCAAATGAGTATGGTTAAACCAACTTGTTAAGATTTATATTCAATCAAAGGTTGACAACGATGTATTAGCTGAGGTAAGTTATAGTGTGATATGGAATACAAGTTGGACATACTCATTTGTACCTATGGAAGAAGACTTTTTTATGAAATTTTTTCTGTTATACCGAACACATAAATCTGCGGCAAATTGAAATTAAAAGTATTGCAATAGAACTATTGCATTTTAATTGATGTCTAAATGTTAATTGGAGCAAAGATATGAAGCTAAAAGTTAAAAGAGTTATAAGAAAATTGACTTTCACTCATAAATGAGGGAAGTCAATTTCCCTCTTTCGATAGAAACTGTTTTTCCTTAGAAATCATTTTCTGGTAAACAAGCATTTGAAAATGACCTTCATCATTCCAAACAATCCCGAGCTGTGAGTTACAAATAGTCAACGTACTCACATGTATTCTTCTCTACATACAATTTTTATCTGTATCTATTATACAAAAGTCAACCACCAAAACCAACATTATAAGCCATTGTAATAAATATAAAATTTGAAATAAAGGGAGTATGGAACTGATCGATGAGTTTTAAAACTAGTTTTTTTTAAAGAAATAAAGATTAACTCAATTGTATGACCAAAGTAATAAAACAAGTGCCAAATTTTAAAGTTTTTTTTTTTCGCTTTCAAAAGTATTCTTTTAATATTTGTCTGTGACGACTTATTTGAGTAGCCTTAACAGTTTTGTCATGCATTCTGCCCTTACCTTAATAAACTTGTGATAGTTATATATATTTGTAATTGTTTGACTCTGTCTCCTAGAGTGAGTAATTCGTAACTTTATCCACAATAAGCGAAAAAAGAAAAGGCCATTTCAATACGAAGAACTAACCCAAATAGCCGGTTCACCTAACCGCTTAAGCTAAAAATAGCCGGTGAAGGTATAATATATGTATAGTTTATGTATTATATATGCATAATTGTGTATAATCACTGTATAATCTATGTATAATTGTATATGGCTAAAAAAATCACTGTATATGACTAAAAAAAAGTAAACAATGAATATGGCTGGCTATTTGAGTAAAAATCCCTTTCAATATTGAGAAAACAAACCAGAACTCTTGATAAAATTAGCTAGCTAGAGAGCTATTTTTATATAGCAACTTGAAGTGAGCAACATGGAGTGGAAAGTGGAAACAGCCACAGTGATGGACACTAACTGTGCTGTTTCTCATTTGTCGGCTTCCAAAAAACAGCAAGGGCCAGAAGATATCAAAATAGTACAAAGTCCTTTATTTGGTTACCAGTTGGTACCTTTTTTAATATTCTTAATCTTGTAAAGTCCTTAATCTTTGATTCTCCCTTATAAAAGTTTTGCCTCTGTCTATCCAGAGAATACTTTTTTCTGTGCTGCTTCTGCTTCTCTTTCAATTTGTCCGTTAGTGAGCATGCAAGTCAATTATCTTCTTGGTAAAGTTTAGCCCTGTACTTTTAATATGTGTGATATTATCCGCTTTAGATTAAGCAATGCACAATTTACCTTAAAAGTCACATCGTTAAGTATATCTCTACACCTTATATCTAACTTTCAGATCTTTTAAACTAATAACAATCTTCCCTCAAACTAAGTTCCATAAGGGCCATTATCACAGTCCATAGGTCTTCATCTCAAACTAAGCTCCATGGCGCCCATTACCACAATTCACAACTCAGTTTTCAAGATTTACTATGTGTTACCCGCATGATCGAGTATTCATCGCCACCAAAAGCCCATAGCTAGCTACTTCTTGTGCGCGTGCTTCTCTAAGCTACCTTTGGCAAAGTAAAGATAGTAAACCAAGCCTAACGCTATTCCTCCGCCATCTCCATAAAAAGAAAATAAAGGAAAGAGATTTTATTAAATAATAGAAACTTGATAGTAGCTGTAATTACTATAGTACTGCACTTGAATCAACTGGTATTACAATTGATTCAATAAAGTTAATAATGACCACTGAGGGTGTGGTCGAATGGTTGGGAGTCCTTCATCCCTAATTAGAGGTTTTGTGTTCAAACTTTGGGAGCAGACAACCTTTTGTTAGGGAGTGCTTTATCCTTTAATTAGTGGGTCTAACTATACAATAACAACGATCCAGTGAAATCCCACTAGTGGGGTCTGGGGAGGGTAGTGTGTACGCAGACCTTACCCCTACCCCGAGTGGATAGAGAGGTTGTTTCCAATAGACTCTCGGCTCAAGAAGACGAAAAGAGACAAGAACATAGATGAAAAGCAAAATAATAACCAGTAGATAAATTCCGACACTAAGGACAAAGATAATGTGAACTCAACATTAACCACTAGCAGTCTAAGCCAAAATCCTAACAGACTAGCCTCACTCTGGTGCACCATAGAAATATACACAACTACCTCCTAACCTACGACCTTAATCCTCGACCTCCACAACTTCCAACTTCCTGTCTAGGGCCATGTCCTCAGTAATCTGAAGTCTCGCCATGTCCTGCCTAATCACCTCTCCCCAATGCTTCTTAGGCCACCCTCTACTTCTCCTCGTACCCGCCAAAGCCAGCCACTCGCACCTCCTTACCGGGGCATCTGGGCTTTTTCTCTGAACGTGCCCGAACCATCTGAGCCTTGCTTCCCGCAGCTTGTCATCCATGGGGCCACACCCACCTTCTCCCGAATATCTTCATTCCTAATCTTATCCATCTTAGTGTGTTCGCACATCCACCTCAACATCCTCATTTCTACTACTTTCATCTTCTGGATATGTGAGTTCTTAACTGCCAACACTCAGCCACATACAACATGGCCGGTCTAACCACCGCTCTATAGAACTTACCTTTGAGTATCAGTGGCACTTTTCTGTCACACAGGACTCCAGACACTAACCTCCACTTCATCCACCCCACCCCTATACACTGTGTGACATCATCGTCGATCTCCCACCCCCTGTATAACCGGCCCAAGGTACTTGAAACTACCCCTCTTGGGGATGACCTGTGGTCCAAGCCTCACGTCTAATCCTGCTTCCGTCGGCTCGATGCTGAACTTGCACTCTAGGTATTCCGTCTTAGTCCTGCTCAACTTGAAACCCTTAGACTCAAGGGCCTGTCTCCAAGCTTCCAATCTCTAGTTGACGCCGTCTCTCGTCTCATCAATCATAACTATGTGCATCGGAATTAGTCACGTCAGAAGATTAAATCAAAATCACAAAAAAACTCAATAACCAAGTGTGGCATGAGTTACAAAAAAATAAAAAATAAAAAAAAAATAAAAACTTGTCATTTCATTTATATTAATAAAAGGCTTAACATTTCGTCATAGCTAATTTACTGGTAGCATATACTCAATACCAGCCTTTAGACGTGCTAAGTAAGTTGTAGATATCTTTAATTGTTCAAGTTCAGGGCTTTGTTTAAACATCTCGAAAATGATTTCCTAAAAATCCTTATATCTTTATGTGTTGATTGAATGTGCAGAAGTACAATATGTTTATGGCACAAATCGGTTGTGCAGCCATTGGTGTTTTGGCATTCACAATATTGGGGCCAGGTTGGCTAGCTCGAAGCACAGCCCTTTCTGCCGCCATGGCTTTCATGATTTATACTCGTTCTGTTCATCCTCCTGGTAAATTAATGTTTGAGAAATTATCTCTTTTTTATCTTAATGTATCAAACTCCATATTCGAAGTTGATGTGCTAATAATGCGTTATGTATGATAGCTGCAAGTCTGCCGCTACTGTTCATTGATGGAGTTAAGCTGCATCAGCTCAACTATTGGTATGCTCTGTTCCCTGGAGCTGCTGGTTGCATTCTTCTATGTTTAATAGTAAGTTTTGCTTCCTCTCTTTTTTCTTATTTAACTGCTGAATTGAATTTTCGAACATGAACAATATATTGTTTCCTTGTATGGTATCGGACAATTCTTACCTCATGAGCTAGTTTTTGAGTTGGGTTAGCGACTCTATATTCTATTGTCTACGCACCCAATGTCTGATTCTCGGTGTGGGAGGGGTTAAATGTTTCATATTGATCAAGGAAATATGTTGCTGTCTACTTATTTGGACAATCTTTACTTATAAACTAATTTTTAGAGTTGAGTTAGGATCAAGGTCTTCACCATTCGCTAGTACCTCTACTTTGAAGATGAAGTTGTATAAAACCAGTTATTGTTGTGTTCCATTTATGTAACACATCTTTCTTTGTGCTATTTACTCTGTCTAAAAAAAGAATGTCATATTTCCATTTGTGTAGTCACATAAATATCTATAACATATTTTAAACCATAAATCTTAAAAATCTATCTTTTTTTCTTCAATTCCGTATGCACTCAAACACCTTACTGTAAAATGGGACGGAGGGATTAATAGTTTGGTGAGTTCAATTTCTGTTTCTAGAATCCGACTGTTTATCAATTCTCTCCTTGTCCAATAATTGCAGCAAGAGATGGTGTGTTACCTAAAAGAGAATGTCAAATTCTGATGTGAAATGCGATGCCTCGTATGTGAGCTGTATAAAAGTTCTTTTGCCTGGTCAAAATTGAAGGTGCAACAGAGGAATCCACCATTTGCAATCACGGATTTGATGAAAATATATATCGTGCAATGTCAAGCGGATAATTCCGATTTATATATAGTTGTGAATAAGATATGATTCTCATTCAACCCAGAAAAATTAAATACATATAGCTTTTTCTGGAATTTGTTGTGTCATGGAACTCAATTGACGCTCTTTTATTAGTAGAAAATATCACAAATTTGTGATCTTAAGCTATATATGATACAATCACAAATCTGAAGACATTCATAAATATAGGAATAAATTTAGATGATAATTAATACAACTGGCATAAAAATGAAAAGTTGTACCAATATTTTCAAGTCCGACGCAAAATCATGTCTCCCCTAGCACAATAAATAACAGGTGGGTCATGATGCTGGAAACATCTGTGTGTTTAATATTTAAATTTATTGATGATATCAAGAATAAGCTATTTTCCAGATAGATCTTGAATACACGTAGTATGTACTGTTATTTCGAAAGAAATTGTTCAAACATGGATTACAAACTGATCCATAATGATTGATAGGGGAGGCCTTGGCCAGAAGCGGTGTTTTAAAAGGCATTTTCGGGATGAGTCCTGTTTGACCAAAAAGTATTAAGCTTTTTGTTAAACTAATTAAATAGGAAGATTTAAGGTAAATCCTAGCCAAAGATAATTTACCCTAGATCTAAAATAAAAGATAAGAATGAGCAAACATAACTGAACATAAGATTTAACTATAACTGAACATAAGATTTAACTATAACAATGATTGAATCCCATTATGTAAGAAAAGAATGGTGATTTTCATAATATTGATGATAGTGAAGAAACCATAGATAAAAAGGGGGCCACCGATCTTTTACAAGGTTGACCCCCATACATTTGATATAATGAGACTAACGATATGTACTGAGGATCTGAGCTTCCATGCTTCTTTCTCTTTAGCGGAGAGAAAAGGATGAAGGTCTCTCTTCTTCTCTGAAAATATGTCTGTGTGTGAATGTGTTTCTGTCCCCTTCCTTCTTCTTCTCACTTGGTTTATATACTAGGTATTCTCCTTTACCCAACTGTCATTAACCATAGTACCTAAGTCATTTGGCTGTATTACTGGTTGACCCTTTGAAATGTCGTAGCATCCAATTCGCCGTTCAAACATTCTGAATACTCGACCCCGACCGTGGCCGGGGTATGTGTCGTTATAGCGTTGTATGGATACAACTTCGGCCCAAATGACTTTTTGTCGTTCCTCTCTACGTGGATTCTCGTCTGGTCAGATTTCGACCCATACAGTTAGTCCCTCCGCCCATTGGGGTCGTCTTTTGGCGAGCTCAATGGGCGGACTCTGTCGATTCGAAAGTTGTAAGAAATCTGAGCACTTTATTTGAGAGGCGAGTACCTCATGGCGAGGTAGCGACATGACGTTTCGAGGGCTGCATCAGACCGTCACATCAGTTCAGAATGTCATTAAAACTTCTCATGCGTCATCAGGGCGCACGTTTCCTATGCATTGCGTCGTCTCCCATGCTCTTTCTATTTTCAAAATGACGGCGTTTGGTTTTCCCGCTCAGGGTGTTTATATTCCTATAAATAGGGGAAAATCCTACATTCGAATGTTATGCTTCCCAATCGCTCACGAGAGACTTCTGCAACTCTTCTTCTCTTTCAGTTTCTCACATTTCTTTTTCTATTAAAAGTTCCTGTGGTCGCTACCTTCTTCCTTTATCATTCTTGATTTTCTCATTCAAAGAAGAGATGGCTAATGCATCCTCCAACCCTGATAGAGTCGTTGGTGCTCCGGTGCCGGAAAACGATATACCACTACTCATGGAGGGAGTGGGTCTCGCGGAGGACGAGAGTTTTTCGATGGTAGATGAGGTGGTTCCCCGCCCAGGGAAGGCGAGGACACACTTTAATAGCCCTGTTGGGGATGAGCCGGAACCTGTTCTCTCTATGATGGATACTGCGGCGCTCACGTCGTTCAAAGCCAATTGGGGAATCCCTGATCACATTGAACTAGTTTCGGCGGGTCGTGATATAGTGCATATACACCGCCCGGGCTACTGCACGTTTTATGCGTATCCATTCGTCATTGGATATACGCTTCCCCTTCCCTCGTTAGCGGTGGACTTCTGCCGCTTCTACGAGGTGTATCCGGCTCAACTCTCTCCGTACGTGTACAAGCTCTTCCTTATGCTTACCAAGTACATGGAGCTGGCCGATCGAGGAATTTCTCTACAACACATGCTTCACCTCTTCGCCCCTCATTTTCTTAGGGGCACGATGATTCACCTGCGCCACCGAGGAACCAAGGGTTTGGTGGTGAAGATGGATGACAAGGCCAGCCGTCGCTTTTGGGAGAGCTTCTTCTATGTCCGAACAGAGCACGTGGTGTCGAACCCTGTGGGGTTTCCCGAGGCGTGGAATTTCGCCCGTAAGTCTCCCTTTCCTTTTATTATATTATATATTTTTTGAACATGGCTGTTGGTCGTCTCCCTTTAATGACCGTCGAGTGTTTTCTGTTTCCGCAGCCGAGAGGGTACCTCCTCAACGGGCGAACCTTCTCGTGGCAGTGGCGAAGAGGCCCCGTCAAAGAGGTGGAGGTTGTCAGAGGGGGCATCTTTGGTTAGAACACCCTCGAGGGGCGACCCTACTTTGGCGGTATCTGAAGCTGTGGGGTGATACCGGCCTGGGTGTGGAGGCGTTGCCCGTCTCGGACGTAGAAGAGGCTGTCGTGGCAGGGAGACACGGTTCGGAGGCTGGCGTGATTGTTCCTAGCGGTCCATCAACATCTCGGCAGGGCCGCGCTCCCTTTTCGGCTAATGAGAGGTTGAAGGGCGTAGTGGTAGGTGACTATGAATCTGATTCCGATATCGACCTTGGGGATATGAGTATGTTCGAGGAAGGTTTTACCAGGGTCGATGTGAGGGCAGAAGGTCCTTCTCGTGTGCTCGAGATTCCATCGGATTTTAATCTGTTGGAGGAAACGGTGGACTTGGTGCCCCAATTTGACCTTCTGTGCTCCGCCGCCGAGAGCAGGTCTCTTCGGGGGATTAGCGATATCAGTTTGTCACGTGGTGTGGCTGGGATGGCCTTGAGGGTAAGTTTTCCTTTGCTATTTTCGCTATTTTGTGCCATTTGCTTTCGCTGATTTTTGGGTAGACTTATATGCTGAAGATCAAGAGTGCTCGTCGGGCTAAGACGCGGGCCGACGTCTTTCTGAAAATGTCCGCGAAGTATCGCCGGTATCGCAACAGGTGCCGTGAGATGCACAAGAGGCTTAGGGTGGGCACTAGTATCAATCCCTCGAGGAGGAGTTGGAGTCGAAGGACGAGGATCTGATGCGGTCTATCCGCAGATGTAGCGATATTGAGAAGCTGCTTAGGGCCAAAGACGAGGAGCTCGAGGTGGGCAAAGGGGTTGCGGCGGAATGCGAGGACCTTCAGGCGAAGGTGTTATCCTTGCGAGCCGAGCTTGAGAAGAATGCCACTAGAGTTGCCGATCTAAGTGCAGAGTGGACGGAGAAAGCGGCTGAGCTAGAAAGGAAGGTGGCCGAGTTGGAGAGCGCCTAGGGAGATCGAGTGGCGGCTTTGGCGGGGCGACAGCGCTAGAAGACACTATCCGCGTCCTCGGGTCTGAGCGGGAAGCCGATAGGGCAACAGCCACACTGAGAGAGGCACGGCTCGAAGAGCGGATCGGTGAACTTGATTGGGATGCTTCGAGCCTGGGAGACCGAGTTACGGCTCTTGAGACTGAGAAGGCGCAGTTGTTAGCTCAGGCCCGCCCTCAAGAATCTAACCCTGTTGATGTTCCCCGCCATTTGTACGAGCTATGGGTCCATGCTGAGGCCCAACGAGACATATATAAGGGTTTGTGGACGGCGGGGAGCGTTCCTGAGGCCGCTTTTGAAGATGCTCGGGTTAAGGCACGTGAGGCTCGTGTTGCCTGCGGTGATTTAACTATAATAATGATTGAATCCCATTATATAAGAAAAGAATGGTGATTTTTATAATATTGAATAATAGTGAAGAAAACATAGATAAAAAAGGGGCCACCGATCTTTTACATGGTTGACCCCCATACATTTGATACAATGAGACTAACGATATGTACTGAGGATCTGAGCTTCCATGCCTCTTTCTCTTTAGCGGAGAGAAAAAGATGAAGGTCTCTCTTCTTCTCTGAAAATTTGTATGTGTGTGAATGTGTTTATGCGCCCCTTCCTTCTTCTTCTCACTTGGTTTATATACTAGGTATTCTCCTTTATCCAACGGTCATTAATCATAATACCTATGCCATTTGGGTGTATTACTGGCTGACCCTTTGAAATGTCGTAGCATCCAATTCGCCGTTCAAACATTCTGAATACTCGACCCCGGCCGTGGCCGGGGTATTTGTCGTTATAGCGTTGTGTGGATACAACTTTGGCCCAAATGACTTTTAGTCGTTCCTCTCTACGTGCATTCTCGTCTAGTCAGGTTTCGACCCATACAAGTCCCTCGACGAGGCGCATCAAAAATGCCCCGAGGCAATGGCCAGGGCCTGCTTTTGGGTAAAGCCAATAAAGTCCAAGCTTTAGGCCCCCAACTTTAGGGGCCCCACTTTTTACCGCTTAATTTTTTTAAATTAAGTATTTTCACTCCTATTATATACTTGGTAAAAATTGAATGGAGTATTATGTAAATCTTTCCACTTCCTCTCTTGATTTCCACAATATTCAATTTTCTTTTTTAATCTTTCTTATTTATCACCAAATGTTACTACTATTATATTTTTCCATAGTGCCTCCAAGAGATTCTATTGTTCTGCATTTTTCGTCTATCAAGCTAAAGCCAACGAGAAGTATATTGAAAGCAACAAATATTTATTTTCACATCAAGTTAATGAATCAGGTTCTTCTATTCCAACTTACGAGTACTAATAGTTTTCATCTAACGTTTGTTTTTCTTAATATTTTCAATGCATATGCATATATTATCCTTTTAGTATTTGTTAAAATTTTGAATGTCAAATAGAAAGTATAAATTCGGTTTATAAAAACTTAAGGAAAAAAAAGTTAAATCTTTGATACAATTCCAAAAAAGAAGAGATGATAGTACTCTAATCGATATGCTCAATCACATAAAAAAGACTAGAAGTTTTTCAAAAATAAAATTGATAAAATTTTACTTAAAATCAACCATCGCGCAAAAGAGATCGAATGGATTATTTATATTATCAACTGAAAAAGAATTATTAGAAGAAATTGATTATAAAATAATTATTCATTATTTTGCATCTCAAAAAGCTAGAAAAATTGATTTCAAATAAATTACTATATATAAGAAATTTTTTTTAAGGAAAAAAAGTTAAAGGCCTCTTCTCCTAGTTTGGCTTTAGGCCTCCAATAGTATTGAGCCGCCCCTGGCGATGGTAGGGGCGAAAGTGTCAAGAGGTGTACACCCAGCTGTTGAAGCGCGTTTTTGTAGTAAGGCGTAAGCCCAAGAGGCTTTTTCAAATTAAAACAAAATTTGCTGAATAGGTCATTTATGTATTACCCAAATTCTCAAAAGTCGGCTTGTAATTACTCAAAAATTTTAAAAAAGAACCGAAACATTAAATTTAGAAGTCAAGACCTCTTTTTATTACTAGAAGCCCTAATTTATAGTCTTTCCCAATTCCTTATCTAGTTCGCTAGTCTACAAAAGAGTAGCAGTAGTGTTAAAAAAATAATTAAGTAATTGTCACAGCGCATCGAGTCGGACTATAATAATTGGGAAGTTTGAAAAGTCTCTAAACATTAATGTTCAAAGCAATACTAAATGGAGTTCAGTAATGGGAAAACTGTATAAACAATGTTGACGAGAGATTTTTAAAAAAGAAATTCACCAAAAAAGAAAAAAAGGTAAAGACACCAAACTTTCGAGCGTGGGGCCGGTGTACTTTTGGACCATACAAGTACAAGCATATATTAGGGTCAGACACCACAGATTAATGACAATTGCCACATAAAAGGCATAAATACAAATTAGAAAGGACCCAGATATGGACACATATTGGAGTTTCTTTAATTTGCCTGGTGGAGTTGTCATGGAAGTTGATTGATGTAGTGGTTTTGTGCTAAGCACGTTTAACCTTACAAGTTACAACCATCTTGACAACGACGTCGTTGGCTTTGTTCTTGTTGGACGTGCGTAAAATATAAGGATCTCTATATAGTGTATATAGTGTGAGACTTTTTGGGAACAATCGCCCGAGCTTTACCCAAAGCAGATAGTATGTTCAGTCCTATTGTTCTTACACGCGTTGCTTTTGAAATCGGCCACTTCATTTTTTTCCTCAAGCATAAAAAGGCTTTTGTGGATAATTTTAATATTTATTGACAATTTCTTAATGAAGAACATGTTCAGATAATTCACTGGTGTTTGTTTAGTACTCCTATTAAGTTTTTACAGGATTTGAGAAACTTATCGATTCTCTTAAAACCTGTTTTTTGCAAAAACTCTATTAAACAAGCAACTTTTACAAAGACTTTTTCGCAAACTCATAGTTTTGCAAATACTTAAACAAACACCACTCTAAGTATTTTAAGAACCTTTTTGGAAAAGTTTGCTAGTTCAAAAGAGACCTTAAGGGCTTTTTGAACGTTCAAAGGTAGTAAAAGGATTTATTTTCTTGATATTCTTGACTTTATTATGATATCCTGCATCGGAGAAGCAAAATATAAATAGAGACTAAGCTAATAAAATACTTCTCCCCCTTTAGCTCAACTACTATGGTAAGTGCTTATTAGCCACAAATTTATTTAATTTATAAGTGATAGATCAGTTTACATATTCAACTTGTGGTGATAAACCTACTCAGGTACCTTCAGAAAAAGATGATAAATTACTTATCAAACACATACTTTAGGAGTTTTTATGTACAAACATTGTACTTTTAAATATTGAACTCTAATAATTTAATTCTCCTTAATGACTTGGTAGTATATACTAGTATTTGTCATACTTGCTTAGCTTAGCATTCTTTAAAAAGTGTTTGTAATATTTTAGAGTTCATTTATTAATAAATGGTAAGCATTATCAACTTTTACTTCAAATTCTGCCAAACAAGTCTTTTTCTTTCTTGTCAGTAGGAATAGTTTATTTGCATACAATTGGGCTATTGGCATGAGATAAACTTAAATGGAGTAATCGTAGTCAGTAAAAATTCATATACACGACCTCAATTTGTTTGAGATTGAAGTATAGTAATAGTAGTTGTTGTTAGTAGGAATAGGCCGACGTACAAGTTTATTTATATTAAGACAGCTAACCAAACCAAGCGCACTGCGTACTTGTGCTTCCGCAAGATATATTTTTAAGTCCAGCATTAAAAAACTCTTCTTTTGTATTGTTTGTGGTGAAACTGTTTTTGTCTGTTCGACGAGGTAGAGCTTTTCTGTAGGCCAAAGGTTCATTATCCGGAAAGTCTGTCCAAAAACATCAGTCATTTTTGTTGAATAAATAGGACAAGCTGGGCATATTAATGTGCTAAGATCCAAAGGACAATGACCCTTGGGACCCTAGAGTTTGACAAATTTGCCTTAGATCAATCCCTGGTTAAAATAGTAGTATAGTTATATCTCTTTATAACAACATTCTTGTATAACAGTCATTCATTATAATATATATTATGTTATAATATATATCATTTATAACAGCACTTTACTATAGCAGCAAAAAAATATCGAAATAAAAGAGACTGTTATAAAGAGGTTTGATTGTAGTAATATCCACCAAACTGTTGTTGCTTGATGTTTCCTCGCACTTATCCACTAATCCCTTCTGACTTATGTCTTATCAACTCTGTCGTGGCACATAAATTTATATGTAAAAATTTACTAAAATTGCAACAAATAATTGATATGAACTCATAACTTTAACAATATAATAAGTATGTTCAATGCCTTTATTTCAACCCCTTGTTTCCTTCCCACTGACAGGCACTTAAACAGAAAAAAGAGAGAGAAAAGGAATTGAGGGGCAAAATAGATTCATAGTAATTAGTAGCACTGAACCATCATCTTCTGTTGCAGTTCTATGGAATTGGTTATGGTATAATTGAATTGTGATCACTCCTTTTGTCAAAATAATGTCTCCCATTTTGGAATTTCAGAAATGCATCTTCTAGTTGACAAAGAAAATTAAGATTTCACAAAACATGAAGCACCAGCTACATATAGCAACAGGTTTACAAATTAAGCGCAATAGCCATAGTTCCCAACTGTTCTGTGACCACAACCCATCACCTCATTTGGATTCTGGTCCCATACAATAGGACTTTATTTATTACACAAAATATACTGCAATGGACTGTCTCCAAATATACACACAACTAAGACACATTACTAGACACACATAAAATAGTTCTATTCCGCATTACTACATACAACCATGAACTCAATAGGACCAGAAACCAAAACCTTGGTCTTCAACTGGAAATCCAAAGTAGCTAACATTTGAGGATGTCACGCGATAATCATCATCCTCCGCTTTTGCAAGCAAGTTGGCAGTAGAGAGCATAGTCTTATCGAATTTTTCTTCATCATCTTGAGATAAATTAGACGGTTCAGGTTCAAATACATAAGAAGAATCCCCCTGCTCTATGAAAGAGGAATGTACCCCATCAGTGTAATGTGGGCTTTCTGAGTCTAAGACATCGCTCTTAGCAGAGCTCAGATCTTCCTGCTGCTGCAGCGTAAGAACCCGAGCTGACACATTGGACATTTTAACTCTAGAAATAGGATCAGCCATGGTTTCTTTTGGCGATGCATCGGAGTGTTTCTGGAAGTCGGGTAGACTCAATTGCCCATTTTTTCTCTCTTTGAGAAGCAGCTTATCAGTGAGCTGGAAAACCTGAATAAAGATTGAACCATAAGCATAGTCCACGAACTCAAGAAAAGAAAATAACATTTAATTATCCCTATGATGCAAATAAAATAAAGCTTGTAATATAAAGTTTAAAGCTCATTACCTCAGCTCTAAGATTTTCCTTTTCCTTGAGAAGATTATTGTAATCTGATTTCAGATTGTCATATTGATTCCTTAATGCTTCAAATTCTTTCTCCAGCTGTTTAGTCTTCCATCGTGCGCGACGATTCTGAAACCATATTGCAATTTGGCGAGGCTGCAGACCAAGTTCTTTAGCAAGCTGGACTTTTCTTTCTGGTTCCAGTTTGTTCTCTTCCCCAAAACTCTTCTCAAGAAACTGGACTTGGTTATCTGTAAGTCTCCTCTTCTTCTCTGCTTGGTGATAATACTCTCCCACTTCATCTGCTTCATTCTCTTCTTGATCGAATGAGTCAAAGAATGACCTCTTCCCTCCATTAACACGGCCGAAACTGACCATAGAACTGGATCCTGAAATGATAAAATGGCCACAGAACAAAATTCAATCGCTGTATCCATTTGACACTAGTCTGAAATTTTGAACACAGCTGTAATTTCTGTTTACAACTCATTGCACTTCTTTTCTTTCTTTCCATTAAAATTTGCTATACAAATTCAGTTTCATCACTTGATATGTTAACATCTACCTTACTTGATCCAATCTTAGAGCCAGTCAACCAAATGGCGCATACATGATCAACCACCAAAAATGATACTTAACTACTTATCCCAACAGAGTGAATCAATTCTATATATTGCAAGGAAATTATCACAAATTCATTTGAAGAATTAAGATTCAAATTTATACCAAAACTAACCAAATACAGAAATTCATCTTCTTCTGCAAGAATTCGATTCGCGAATATACTGATTTGTCAAAGACTAGCCAAAAAGATAGAACCTTAAAAAATCAGAGCACTCATCAAGCACAAAGAACCATCTACGAGCTAGGGGGAATTGGCAATATGTGATCGTAGTGGCTTTTATTATGTAAAATACAAATATAGAAGAGGAAAAAAAGTCAACGCTGCTTGAGAAAGAAGAAAAATAGCAGTAGAAGATATACATACCCAAGTAAGAAGAAGAACAGCCGGGGACAAATAGAGAACCAAGATGCTCTTTTGCAATAGTTGAAGAAGAAGAAGAAGAAGAAGACATAACCCTCTGTTTCTGATTCAAAACACCATTAAAATTAAAAGCACCAGACCCACCACTGTAGAGCATCCCTGGAGCCATCATAGGTGCGAATTATATAGTATTACAAAGCTGAGATATTCAAGAAACAGCCATAGGGCGTGTTCCCTTAATGTATCACGAATCTGGGGTTCCTGATATCCTTTAATACAAGGATTGATGGGGGGGAAAAAGTGATCTAGAGCTTATGGCGAAAGAAGCTGGTGATAATAATTTCGGTGATGTGGGAAGTGTGAGAGCACCTGCTGCTGATCACCATCAACATCATCACCCTTGTTAACGATTTGAACGCAAGGATTATTACTACGATAAACACACAGAAAGAGAGAGATAAAAGGAACCGGGAAGTCTCTGTTTTTTTCTTCTTCTTGGAAATAAAGCAGAGGAAGCAGAGAAGAGATATGAAGAAAAGAGGTGATGTATATAGATGACAAGAGTGTATGAGTTAAGCGACTAAACGTTTGATTAGTTTCTCTTTGGAAGAAGACTACTTTAGCTCCTCACTGGGGGGGGGGGGGGGGGGCTTTTAACGAGATTATTTAGCTTCTCCCCTGTTCCCACTAAGTGAAATAAATACATACTCCTATTGTTTTTTAAAATATTTTTTTATCATTTAATCATAAATATATTCTCTCAGTTTTAATTTATTTTTATTGCTTTACTTTTAATTCAAACTAGTATTAGTACCCGCACGATGCGCGGACATATAGCATATCAAATTATGATTTAGGTTATTTAAATTATGTGCAAATAACCTTAAATTAAACCTTCTATATATAAATTATAAATAATTATTTGATATTAATTAAGAAGCAGGACATGAAACCATTTTTCAATTCTCATATTGAATAATTTGTTTTCTTTTTCTATATTTGTAATAACACAACACCTTGATTTTGGCACTTATAGTATATTTTACGGTCAATATTAAAGAATACTATACATGTAACATTGTGATCTGTCTTGTTTGAGCACATTAAATTATATTATTTTAATAAAATTCCTACTACCACTTTATTTTTCATCTCAAATTTAAATATTATTATCCTTCTACATTTGTAGACATAATTATTTTCTCTTTTTTTGTTCCTTGCTTATAGTTTTTGCATTATTTATTACTTAATAATGTTATACTATAATGTGATCTTTTATTATTCTTGTTTATTACCCTTTTAATAATCATCAATAAATATAAAAAAAATTATTCTTGAAATTTAATATAGTTTTACACTATTATCCACTTACTCGGATCTCTTTCATCATTTAAATCTATATTTTTGAGTACTATTTAATAATTTAATTTGTTTATTTTTAATAAATTTAGAAATATAATTATCCTTGCACTATCTCTATTTTCCTCTTTATACATAAACTTTTTACCTACACTCAAAATAAACAGAATTTCAATTTTCTATTCGATTAAAAATTCAACTGAAGTATGATAATTATATTTTCAGGGCATTTTAGTACATTACGTATATTTTTAATTTAATACAACACAATTTAAAAGTTTTTCTTACTTTTCTTAAACTTTATGCTTAATCAAAATAAGACCTCATAAATTGAAACGTACTACCTCTGATCCACTTTAATTAATTTTTTGGCATTTTTCTTGTGGTCCACAATATTTGTTTTTTCAGATATCAAGAAGGAATTAACTTTTTTTTTCAAAGTTGTCCTTGAAGTAAAGAGTTTAGGAGTATTGTTATATTTTTAATGAACAAATGAAGGTTAATATAGTTAACTTTATTGTTAATTAATGCTATAAGTTGAATTTATTAATATGTGTGAAAACTATAAAAAAAAATTAATAAAAATGGACTGGAAGGAGTATGATATAAAAACTTCTACTTTTAGTTTTATACAGTACTTGAGAGTTACTTGATTTTGGTAGGAACATTACAAATAAATTTATTTGACCTATAACTAGAGTAAAATCGTATAATGCCACTACTAAGCAAGATTCTTGATAATATTTTAGTGCGCTCATTATTATTTTTTACCATTATGCCCTTTCAAACAATAGTATATCTTTAAAACTTTTAATCTGGTTGTTAGCACTGAGATTACAGAAAGGAAAAATGAGAAAAAGATAATTAAACTGAAAATAAACTCGTGTTGATTGAAAGAAAGTGGAGAGGAGAAAACAGATAAAAGATAAACATTTCATCTTCACATTCGCTAGGGGTAAAATTTCATATAAGAATAACTGGGCTCCCTACTTTCAATTTTATAGTCATATTTCAATTTACAACTAACTAGCCTAATAATAATAGGCTAATACTCAATATTCAACTCCAATAGATTCTCAAAATTACTATTTAATTTTTAAAAAAGATTGCTCAAGCTTTTAAGTTAATTTTCGAATCAGTAACTGTAACTCAAATATTAGTTCAACAAACCAAATCCACTTGGGTAGTAAAAATTAGATTTTTAACAAGCTTAAATATGTGGGTTTAAATTTTAAATTTGATTTCATGAGAATTTTGGAGTGGGTATCATTTAAACTTGTTAGAAATAGTATAAGGAGGTTGTATATAAAATTTGAAGTCATTTAATGGAGATTTGGATTGCTTTTGAACAAGAATTGCACTGAAAATCGTGGAAGAAGTTCGTCTACAGACGTTTGTATAAAGGTGTATAAAAGTGTATAATAGTGTATAAGATGTGTTTATACACTCATATACACTATTATACAAGATTATACAAAATTATACAAAAAACTGACTTCGTCTTCTTCCTTGCGTCTTTTTTGAAACTTAACTCAAATCTTGCTCAAATTTACTCCAAATCACTTCAAATTTAAATCTTGAACTCCTTTTGATATTTGCAATCAATTGGAACAACACCCAATCCAAACAACTAACAAACTCAAAAAATCATATTTTTGAAAGCAAAGATTTGAATGGCCTTCAATGGTGGACTTCTACTTTTCAATTTTCTTACATTGCAACCAGGTGACACGGGGGGAGAAGCAGAAAATGCACGGCCTTTTGAAGCATATGTAGAAGATGTGAGAAGAAGGGAGAGTGAAAGCAATGGTTGTGAACATATTTAACTCTATAGCTTTTAGAAGCAATGGTTGTAAGAACACAGATTTTGAATTTCTAGTGCTTTCAAAATATGTACAATATGGGCTATGTAGGGTAAAACTTAAAAACATGGACCATTTTTTATTATGATGTGAACTCATGTGTATTTTCTTGTAATTCTTTCTATCACTTACGACTTACGAGGAGGAAAATAAGATTTCTGCTTTATTTCCTTTTTCCTTTGTGAATTTTAATTTCATAATACTCCTATGATTTTAGTTTAGTGGATCCTTATTATTAAGATGTCTCTAAAAACATATCTTCCTATTTGGAGAAATTGGTAAATTCAAATATGGAGAGAGATTCGGATGAAAACGGAGGAGGAGGAGCCCAAAGTCCCAATCAGTCGGTGGGGTCTCGTATGTGACTCTTTCCCTCAGTGAAAAAATATGGCTCTTTCGCATTGCCCTTTGGATCTTTTTCTATTACTAATTTCTATAGAATCTTATCGAGATGTCCCAACAAAGTGCCAATTTACCGACCTTTGGTCATTAATCATAGATTTATCAAAGCGAGTCAAACACATATAAAAATTAAAAACATAAATAAGTAAGGTTCTTTCTCTCCAAGAATCACACAGAAAGATCTTCTTCCATATTTTTAAGCGTGATTAGCAACATTAGATGCAAGACGGAAAGAAAATTTCGTGGATGAGAGAGCAAATAAGGGGTGTGTGTGTGTGTGTATATATATATATATATATATATATATATATATATATATATATACAAAAGATGGCTTTTTTCAATGGGTATGGTTGAGATTCATTGAAAATATATAGATGAGTCAATATACAAAATTTGAGGAAGATTGGAGGTGATTTGGAATGATTTAGTATCAAAATACGAGTTTAAAAAATTCTTCTGCGACACATGTATCACACATGTATCTCACACGCATGTATACATGGTTATACATGTGATATACATTTGATACAAATATGATACATGTTTGATACACAAGTGATACATAGTGTGATACATATATCATTTTTTTCATGTTCATCTTCTATTTCGAATTTTCAATTCAAACCACCTCAAAACTCCACCAAATCATCCCCAAACTGAGATTCAAGCTCCTTAAGATGTACCCAATCTATTCTAATAACACCTACTCAAAAGAAAGCAGAAATTTGACCTTTTTTTGGCTACAAATAGCTAATTGGCTAATATTGGTAATATTTTAGGAATTGGCTAATTTTTATAATAAACTACTTATAAATTGACAAATCTTGTATTTTTCCCTTTCTTTTTTAAAATAAAGAAAATTGTTAGAGATCTTTACATAGATAGTCAGACCGAATTTACTCTTTACTTTTTCTAGCTAATATACATAGATTAGAGGTTTCAGTTCTTTCTGAGACCTCTGAACCTATTTCGAGTCTCTGAAATGAGTTTCAAAACACTTGCTTTTCACATGATTCCAGCTTTTGCTAAACTCTTCTGAGAGCTGTACATTGGATCCTTTGTATGCTGCTAAATGATACTTCTCATCTACTTTTGCTGACCTATGTGACAACTACGCTTCTGTGGTCTATTTTCTACTGATTTTTACAATAACACAACATCTTCTTTCATACTTGACATGTCTATATGCTCTTTATATGCAATGAATTTCCCTCTAAAAATGGTTTTCAAAATTTAGAACTCCAAACCGTAATGTATTGAGACAAAGCTAGACCCTGAGGAGTCCTCTTGATTTTAATTCCTAGAATTACATCCGGCAACTCCTAAGTTCTCATATCAAACTTACTAGCAAGCATGCGCTTAGTAGCTTGAATGTCGCAATGTCTTTGCTTATTATTAGCATATCATCAAATATAAGCAAACAATGACTATATGATTTGGAACGTTCTTAATGTAAACACATTTATCACATTCATTAATCTAATGCCATATTGACCAACATTGTTTGGTCAAATTTCGCATGCCATTGCTTGGGTGGCTTGTTTTAGTCCATAAAGAGACTTAACAAGACGACACACCTTCTTTTCTTTTCCCGGAACCACAAACCTTCAGGTTGGTCCATGTAGATTTCTTCCTCTAAATCACCCTTTAAGAAGTGCTTTTTTACATCCTTTGATGGATTTGAAGATCATACAAGGCGACTAACGGTATTAGCATCCGAATGGATGTAATTCTTGTTACCGGCGAGTATGTGTCAAAATAGTCAAGACCTTCTCGCTGTCTAAATTCTTTGACAACAAGTCTTGCCTTGTATTTGTCAATAGTACCATCGTCTTTCATTTTCTTCTTGAAAATCCATTTAGAACCCAATGTTTTATTACCTGGAGGAAGGTCAACCAATTCCCATGTATGGTTGCTCAATATGGATTCTATTTTCACTATTGACCGCTTCTTTCCAATATTGTGCTTCTGATGAAGACATTGCTTTCTT